GGGGATTTAGCTCAGTGGTTCCACCGCCTGCCTGGAAAGCGCAAGGATCTGAGTTTAAGGATCTGAGTTCGATCCCCAGTACCAAAAAAAAAAAAAAACCTCCAAAAAACCACCATGCCCAGCAAGACTTCTTAAACATCAAATTAATAGCCTCAAAAACAGCGACCAGGGCCAGGGATTTAGCTCAGTGGTTTTGCTGCCTGCTGCGCAAGCCCAAGGACCAGAGTTTGATCCCCGATACAAAAAAAAAATTGACCAGCAACCTGGCCCCTTTTAAGTCCTTTCCTTCTCGCCCTTTTTCTGGTCCTTTCAGTTTTGTCTCACTGAGAGGGCGCTGGGATGGGACCCTAAGGGACCCGTGACCTGGAGGGGCTGTGAACTAGGACCTTCCTCGCACTTGGGTTTTACAGAGGTGAGTGCCCCACCCACCGCCCCTCCCTCGGACCCCCCAAAGCCTGCTTCCTGGGCGTCTCAGTCCAGCAGCTCCTGGAGCCTCCTCCCGCCCCACCTCCCTTAGCATCCTCAGCATCCCGGTCACCTGTGTGGAGCGTGATGAGGATGAGCAACAGCGTCCAGGCCATGTCGGCGGGTGCTGCGGTTGGGGAGCTGTGTGACATCTGAGAGAGGATGCGGCGTGGCTGGAAGCGGCGTGGCTGGGGGCCGAGGAGGCGGTCCCCCGGGCGGCATTATTGGCTAAAATTATATTGTAACAATTTATCCACCCAGCTATGTTGGAGGGCGGGGAATTGAAGGACACCCTGAGCGACAGGAACTCTAGCTGCAGCGAGGAGCCAAGGAGGAAGGCCCAGCCACTGCGACCAGACCTTCTGGGCATCAAAGGGACAGGGCAGGGTAGTCACTTCCTGGGACAAAGAGGACTGACGCATCACTTGCTGAGGACCTCCAGAAATCCTGGTGGGGCCCTTGGCTGTGGGGAGCAGTGGGGGGAGCAGTGCATCAGCTGCAGGGCCCCCGGGGAGGGGACGCTGCTGGCGGGGAAGTCCTTGGGCTCTGGGAAGTGGGACGGCGGCTGGGGCTTAGGTGCTGGCACAGTCAGGCCAGGCTGAGCGGGGAGAGGGGAGCCGGTGGGCCGCCGAGGAGGCCAGGATGTGGTTCCACCACCTCTCAGGTTCAGGAAGAGCCCTTTACCCAGAACGAGCTGCCGGGAGCCCTGCAGCAACCGCCTTCCTCCCCTGCCCCTGCCGGGCCCGTCGTCCCACTGCTCCCCACAGTCCAGCGGCTCTGGGATTTCTGTAATGCAAGCCTGGGAGGAGAAGGCTGGCTGTGGGGCGGTGGAAATGCGTTGGCACCGTTACCCTGGTGGTGTCACCTGGGTTTTGGCGGAGGGCCGAGTGCTGATGGCGAGTTTGAACCATTCTTCCTCAGGCCTCCACCAACAGAACCCACCCCAGCGAGGTCTGCTCACCTGCGCCTCCCGCCAGGTGTGCCTACCCAGCACCACTCTGATCCCATCCCCCGCAGAGCGCCCGGCACATGTGTCCTGCAGATGTAAACGAAGGACTCGAGTTGCACAGCGCCAAGGCTGCAGAGTCTACAGGAGTGTTCTGCTCACCCTGGAGCACATATTGCACACCCCGGGGAGATAACAGCACCCAGAAAAGAAGCAGTGGATGGGACAAGCGCACACCCCGCCCCGGGGCTTTCTGCTCCTTTTGAATCAATACGAATGTTTTTCTTTGTGCCTATTTCTAGCTTTGTGTGTGTTGAGGGCGGGGCCCTTGCGCTTGTGCAGCAGGCGGCGAAACCACTGAGCTAAATCCCCGGCCCTAGTTTTGTGTGTTCTGCAATTCCTGCACAGACTACTCGGTTCCACCCACTGCTGCACGAGCTCTAATCTTTCTTCTAAAGAAGCAGTAATCTCTGGGTTAAGAATGCTGATTTGGCCGGGCTTCGTGCTGCACGCCTATAATCCCAGCACTTGGCAGGCTGAGGCGAGAGGATTGCAGAGCTCGAGAAGGCCAGCTTGGGCTACATAGAGAGCTCAAGAACAAAAAAGAAAAAGAAAGCAAGCTGGCTTGGAGTCAGGCTGGATTCAAATGTCAACTCTCCCACAAACTAGTTGTTATTATTTAATAATAATTAGTTATTATTATTTAATTTCTCTAAGTGCCAGACAACACTCGGGTCACCCAGTCTGGAGAGAAGGGACTTTTTCCTATCTGGAGGCTGTGGAGCTGAGGCGCCACGGCGAGGCAGGGCTGACCTCTGCTGGTCACGGCGCGCGGGCACCCAGAGCGGCTTCTCTCCCCGGCCTCCAGATTCCAGCTTGTTCCGGTCCTTCGGCCTCCTCCTCTCGCTGCATTCATCCACCGCGGGGCTCAGAAGGAGAAAACTTTTCCGCTTCAACTACGGGAAACCCGCAGAATGGGGAGGAGACAGCACCACCGGGGGCCCCTGGCCCGAGGTAAATCTCCACTTGCCTGGCGCGCTCAGTCTCGGGCAAGGCTCCTCCTAGCGGGGAAGGTGGCTTAGAAGTCACGGTACCGTCCTGGCTCCGCTGCTCACACATCGTAAAACAGGGCCAAGTGTGTAAATCCCACTTTAGGGATGAGCGACTAATGAGGACACCCCCAAAATGCAACTTCCACATGGTGATGTTCAAGGGAGCTTTCTTCACAGCGTGCTCGGTGTGGGGTTGAAGGTTTCTCGCCTAGGGTTTGTCTGCGTCTGGACTTAGGGCGCTCCTGGGTTTCTGTACTCATCTTCAGAGTTCGCGTGTTCACATTTTCGTCCTATTGCAGCCAGGTTCCTGAGGGCCTCCCGCATTACACCTCCTAGAGCTGCTTTTGGGGCTTGCCCCTCCTCCCTGGCAAGTTCTGTCCACACCCTTAAAGGCCTCTGACTCCCAGGGTTCCTGGCTCTTTCTAAAGGAGAGCTGCATGTTCACCTTCCTGAGCCTCTTTACGACTGTTGCAGCTCCTGGATGCTCTGAATCCAACTGAACAGGCTGGATCTTCCGTGGACACTTTGACCTTGGGGAGGAGCCAGACGTCACCCGGGCCCGTCCTGGTGGACAGGCAGCTGAGGACGCCCTGTCACGACTGCATGGATCTGCCTCTCAAGTTTGAACCCAGCCTGGGCAATTTACCAGTTTAGCAAACTGTCTCAAAAAAAGGGTGGGGGGGACTGAGGGTGTCGCTCAGAGCAATGGCCTGGGTGAGGGAGATCGTGAGGTAGAGACACACTGGGCCTGGTGAACTCCTTGGGCAGCCAGCTGCAGGCTAGCTGGAGGGTGGTCGGGTAGGACATGGGTGGCTTCTCCTCCTGTCAGTTAATGAATGGCCCCGACTATGAACTCTGAGCATCAGATGAGCTGCTTCTCTGAGGTTTGAGGTTCCCAGCTTCTGACCCCACCACCGACCTTGGGTCTCGATTTCCTGCTGAGAGCGTTTTAACTGCTCCACACTTGTCAGGGCTTAGCTGCACCCGAGCTCCTCAGCTCCCTCTTCATTCCATCCTCTGCTATCTCCCTAACAGACTTCATGTCCACACGAGCCCTCCCAACCGGCCTCCGTCTTGATTTTTGAAACAGGGTCTCCCCGTAGAGTGTGGGCGGGTCTTGAGCTCTCTATGTAGTCCAGGCTGGCCTCAAGCTTCCGGCCCAGCGATTATCCTGCCTCAGCCACAACCCCCAGCACCACATAAGGTTCTTTGTTTCACTTCGTTTTATTTTGCTTTTGCTGTGGATTGAATTCAAGGTCTAATGTTTTATTTTGAGACAACATCTTGCTAATTGTAATTAAATTACCAAGGCTGGGGCCGGGGATTTAGTTCAGTTGTTCCGCTGCCTGCCTCGAAAGTGCAAGGTCCCAAGTTTGATCCCTCTACCAAAAAAAAAAAAAAATTGCCCAGGCTGAATTCAGACCTGTAATTCTATTGAGGCCAGGGCCACTGGGATTACAAGTGGGTGCTACCCCGCCTCGCTTACTTAAGTGACCTTTTGAACACGGAGATATAATTATATACAGTAAAAGACACAGATCTCAAGCCTACAGTTCGATGACACTTGGCAAACACATATCCCCATGTAATGACACTGCACTTCCCCAACCCCAGAAGATCCTACACGGCCATTCTGGTCAATCCCTCTCACCTCCCAGACGTAACCACTGATTTATATGCCTGTAAGCATTCAAGTTGGGCAGGTGGTGCATGCCTGTAATCCTGGCATTCAGGAGGCTGAGGCAGGTAGATCGCTGCAAATTCAAGGCCAGCCTGGGCTACATAATGAGTTAAAGGTCAGCTTCTTAATTTTTTTTTTTTTGTTTTTGGTACTGGGGATCGAACTCGGGTCCTTGCACTTGCACAGCAGGCAGCGAAACCACTGAGCTAAATCCCCAGCCCCAGTCAGCTTAAACTACATAGAAAGAAAGACTGTCTCAAAAAAAAAAAAAAAAAAAGGACTTTAATCTATTTTTTTTTTCCCAGTACTGGGGATCAAACTCAGGGCCTTGAACTTTCCAGGCAGGCATGGTGGCACTGAGCTAAATCCCCAGGCCTGAGTTTGATCTATTTTTGAACTTCATATCAATGGAATCATATTGTACGTACTTTCTTTCTTTGTGAGATACTAGGGGTTGAACCCTGGGAGTACTAAACTACATCTAATCCTTTTTATCTTGAGACAAATTGCTCAGGATGAGTTTGAACTTGGGATCCTCTTGTCTCAGCCTCCCAGGTAGCTGGGATAACAGGGATGTGCCACTATGCCAGTCCTTACTATGTACTCTTTATTTCTGTCTCTCTCATTCTGCATAAAGCCTGGGTCAGCACTCCATGTTTTTGCATGTGTCAATAGTTTGCTTCATTTTATTGTTGAATGATTCTTCTATTTATTTATTTATTTTTAGCCACTACTGGGGATCGAACTCAGGACCTTGGACTTGGAAAGCAGGAGCGGCACCACTGAGCTAAATCCCTGGCCCTGGTTCTTCTTTCTCTAAAGACTCTTCAGGACAGACATGGGAAACAGGAGAGTCGGTCTTCAGTGAACCTGGCTTCCGGGCTCGTCACCCGTGTCTTCTCCCTGCCCCCAGACTGGGTTCCAGGGAGTGGAGAGCCTGGAGAAGATTCCAAGGACATGCTGAGGAGAAAAGTGCCCCTGAGAGGAACGTGGGGGGCAGTTGGTCAGGATGGTCGGACCAGAACGCCCTGCCAGGGACCAGAATGAGAAGTCAGTGATTGTCGCTCCCTGCACAGTAAGGGAAGCAGGGGGCGGGCGTGGGGCTCTGCTCAAGATGGACCTTTCGAGGATCGGCCTGCACCCAGGGACACACGCTTGAGGGGCCTGGTCACAGGGGACAGATGGGGAAAGCAGCCACAGTGAGCAAGAAAATCGAAAGAGAGTTTCTTTAGAACTTATAACAGCTGTCCAAGAAATGAAAAAATACCTGCCAGTGGAGAGACACTGCAAACCAAGCATCTTGGATGCCCTAAAGCATGCCTGTCGCTGTGTACACAGGGTGCAAGCAAACAGTGAATTTTTTGATTCTCAGTGGAAATGGATGCCCTCAGACAGACGTGACCGTGTACACTTCCAAGAACACTATACCTTTGTGGC